GTTTGAAAATGGTTCAGCTGTCACAGGAATTACTGTAAAATCATCCCATGGAACGTTTTTTTTTCCCCGGATTCCACTGCAAGCAAAGTGCTCAGTGTGCTGAAAAACTTGAACATTATTTAGCACACACACATGCAGCTAAATAGCATATCCTTGTATGGTGTGTGGACAGTGCATTACCCTAGTTTTAGTATTGAATGAGACCCATTAGCAGTGTGAATTTAAAGATCTAAACACAATCATGAGTCAGGGGAGTGCTTCCATTTGAACTGCGGTCACACTCAAAATCTATGGCATCTCCTCATATATTCTACCAAACAAAAACAGTCATCTTAGCCCTATTCATTTCTCATTAGGTTTCTTTTTTCTTTTTCTTTTTTACTGTAACTTGCAAAGTGATAAAAAAGGGAGAGAACAAATGAGAAACTAATTTTACAAGTGAGACACAACTCCCAAGAGGCTGTGAAAATGACTAAACAAAATCAATAACACTGAAAACTCAACAAGGTCAAGTCTACTACTGTACACGAGCAACACAATACAGTAAGTAAATAGAAAATGACAGAAATAATCCAAATAAATTCACTAGAAGTAATACACATAGTACGATTATAATACACAATAACATGATATTAAAATTATATTAAAAATAGCAAATAATAACTTGAAAATTTAATCAAAATGAATTTCAGCTCGCTCGAGGGCACCTCAATGGCAGTCACTGAGGGAGAGGAGACACACGTGCACATCCATTTCATTTTTCAGTGCACCACTACACAGCAGCAGAAGGGCAGGGAGGCAGAAATAAGCAGAGTGTCAATAATACAGTGCAATGCTGCTGTGTATTTACAGCTAAATTATATCTGAATGGTCAAATAGTGAGAAATACAAAATTAATGAAATATCACTCTATATTCAAAATCAATAAAGAAACAAATGAGAACTGCAGGGGAGCTTTGATCCAAATGTCTGCATGGAGTGCCTCAATGAAAAAATAATTTAGGTCTCCTGGGACACGTGATGGGGAAACAGTAATTACATTCATCATGATCTACAATTGGCTTCTTTTTTTGTCTCAGATAACTCAACCCAGATATGCACAAACACTGCATTTGTAAAACAGCATGCACACACCCACCGCATAGACACAAACAACCATAAATACATGCAGTCACACACGAAAACACACCTGCACACAACAAAGCCTCTAGTTGTAATTCACTGTGTATTCCCCACGATGCACGCACTGAACACTGTATCATGTCAGATCACATTATAGCACAGAATTACAATAAGTAACAGAAATCAGTTCACAAGATTAATTGTCAGAGGTAGTAATTATTCCCGCCCTTTCATTCAGAAAAAGCGCCCTGACTGTTTTATGTCTCACCCAGTAATATCTCATTAGAGATTAATACAGATCACCTCTTTTAATTAGCCATTTCGCCCACACAATTGCTGATAAAAGCCTCTGATCTTTCTTGTGTTATGCTGGCAACAGTCTGTATGTGCAGTATGTGTGTCTCTGTTTGTGTGTCTTCCCTGTTGTTTAAAACAAAAGTCAGCCCCACTTGCACTTTCAGTCTTCATAGCTCTGTATCATTAGGAAGGTAACACGGCAGTACAGCACTGAATCAGTCCTATTTCCCATGAGTGTGTACCGGCTGTGTTTGTAAGGGCCATTTATGCATGTGTGTACATCATGCATGCATGTGTATATGTTTGTGCTTGCCACATTATAATTTGAGCTTTTTGGCACCTCTTTGGTTTACATTATCACTTTGAAGATGACAGAAGTGTACAGGTATGTATGTGAATGTAAATGTGTGTGTTTGTGTCTGTGATTCTCTAAAGCATTACTTTGTTGTGCTTACCCTGACATCACTTTGAAGAATTAAAGAAAAATAATAATAATTCTACCACATATGGATACATGCCAGAGCTCAGGGAAGCAGCCGTTTAGAATCTCCTCCATCTCAACACCTCAAACAACAGCATCCTGATGGATGACACCAGGCCAGGAAAATGACTTCTCTGCCTCAAGGCCACAATGGCTGGCACATTCCAAAATTCATCAAATGCCTTCAGTATTTCACCAGCCAAGTTGAGGTGTACAACAGAAATATAAATCAATGAGCCATTCATTCAAGAAATATTACAAAAATATTACCAGAGTATCAGTACTATGTGTGTTTCTATCTACAGGACCAACCACTTGACTATTTGGTACACCCCTTCCTGAAATATCGGTCAATCATAGTTTAGCGAACCATAACTAGGCACAGCAAGCCTGTGTTCAACATGCTAACATAGTGTATATGAGGCTGTAGTTATAGTGAAGATCAGCATTTAAAGAATCAAAAATTTGCATCTTTTTTTTAGCCTTTCCATAACTAAACAATGTTAAACAGGTATGGAATGACTTTCTTTGCCACTTTGATTCCAGAGGGGGGAAAAAGATACATCGTGTACCTTACATACTCTATAAAGACAGTAAGTTCAAAGTTTTAAAAGTATCTGATAAAAACTTTTAATTGTCTAATGCTGTTAATTTGAAAGTTCAAAGCAGTTGTGTCATCACTTTTCCTTCTTTCTATGGCACATTTGGACTATTTGCTGCTGCTGACGCTGTCCATCAGTCAAGGCTGTACATGGCTAACAACTGGCTAAGTGGCTCTAATTGAACTGAGGTTCTGTAATAATAGTTTCATGCAAGCAGGAAGTCATTCATCAATACTGCTCTCAATTAACAGAAAGGCAGGAGAGAAAGAAGGGGAAAATACAAGAGAGAAGAGGAGTGAGTGGAAAAGAGATGGATGGACAGTGAAGAGATAGGAGCAAAATAAAAACACAGAGACATATAAGGCTAAGAGAGAAGATAAACAGAACATTATCCACATTTTCTGGTCAAATCACTTACTCCTCAGCCATGACTAACAGTTTCCAGCACATACACAAACACCATTACGTTTAGTTGTTTTCTAGTCTGTCTGTATTCATTCCTGCCTTAATTACTTCCAGTGTCAGTCATCCCTTGTTTACGATTGTATCTGTTACTCTGTTTACCTACACTCATGCCATTGTTTATTAAAGTACTGTTTTCCTAGCCACTACGCTATGTCTTTGTCACACGTCAGCATCTGGGTTATAAGTATAATACCATTACAGTGTGACAGTGTTTATCAAAAACTACCTTGCCTCTTGTCAAGATGTCAGTTGTGTTTATTTTGTCAGCATCTTAGGTTTAGTCCTGAGATTAAACTCCATGCTAGATTTAGTCATATTTAATAGCCTTATCCTTTAAATTTTTATTCAGCTTTTAGTAAAATAAAGCTATGGACAACCCAAACAAACTTGCCTTAAACAAAAAGTAAGCCATCTTACAGTAGCTGGTTGGGCTATTGTCTTTTCAGTGAGGCTAATCTGCAAACAGTGTAGTAATGCCCCATTGTTGTGAGATTCTGCTGCATAATAGTACACTACTATCTGAAGCAGTTGGCTTAATATGGCTTTAAAAGTAACTTAACATTATTTAGCATCTTAACTCAGTTTCTGTGGCTGCCTTTAGGTGTTGCTTTTGGTCTGTGGTTCTCCAAGTGATTTTGTTGTCGCAGGACGTCTTACCAAACAATACTACACAACCATATTTTCTCTCATTATATTTGAAGTGAATCTAAATATCAACCTATTTTTTAGGACCAAGTCAAGCTGTTGCTGTCGTGTTCTTTTCCTGTCACCCTGTGTTTTTAGAGCTCCTATGACTGTAGCATTAAAGTGAAAAGTGGCTAGGTTCACGCCAGGATTGTTAGGGGTGTGTTCATTGGTGCACTGCTGGTTTGCAAAGTCCTGGATGAGATGATTTTGGTGCACATGTAGAAAAATGTGCAATGCAGGCATCCAATGAAAGGAGGACATTTGAATGATGTGGAACAAAATATGGATGATAATAATAATAATGTATTATCTGTTTTTTCTCACTGGAGCTTGCTTGGAGCTGTAACAGTGAGTGAGACAAAGTAGTGTTATTTCCTTCATCAGGGCTATTTTAAACCATTATGCTGCTTTGTACCTTTTGAATCACTTTTTCTTTGCCACCTACAGTAGTTAATGTCTGTCTCTGATTGCTATCTTGAGTTTGCTAATGTTTGAACAGAGATTGTTCTACCCACGTTGATGCTTTCCTATTTCTTCCATACTGATTCCATTTGTTCTGTCCTTGTTATTTTTGTATCAGTGCTATGCAACAACAAATTCATCCTAACTACGCACTGGCGTCAAGTACAGGTCACCTGCCACAACAGGGTGTATTTATTCTGCTGCTGCGTGTTTTACCCTGCTGACCCAATCCAAACTCTCTCACACGCAAACATACAGTACCCAACCATACAAAAACATAGTAATTGCCAAGTACATGGCAAATTTAGCATGACTCATGGGTCAGTGCTTTCAAAGGCCACTTGTGAGTACACCCACTGTGCATTTGTGTACTACATACATGTTTATACAGGATAAAATGGACGCCTGTAATGCTTCAGCTTCAGTCTATAATTCACACACATCTCTGAAGCTTGAGGTAAGAGGTTAGAGTTCCAAAGGTCCAGAGACAACAAGACCAACTTTTACTGTTGCTCTGTCATTGTAATTACAATGTCTACAATCTTTCTGTAAATAATTTATAAATCTGGAATCAGAGATGGCTCACAGTAAAATGTATGAAAATAAAAACCAGAATCAATCTAGAACGGTGTTACCAAATAATTTGCTGTAAATCCCACCCATACACAAATGTTAAATTTAGTTAGTTAGTAAAAATCACCCTGCATTAGCTGCTTAGCACAATTAGCTACTTTTAATGACCGTTCAGTTTTCATGGTGAAAACATTTTTAAGATGCAGGACCTGCCTTGATGCAGAGTAATGAAAAGCAAAAGAAAACAGGCTAACCAGCTGCTGGATGAAATAGGAAGCCGCTGCTAAAAAAGAGAGTAGCCTCAGTCCTACCTCTCTGCTGTGGAAGAAGTCTTCCTCTGACACATCACCGCCAGTGAACTGCTTCCCGGCGCCATTTCCTGTTTGATCTCCCATGCAACAAGGTTGCTCGGTTTCACAGCCAGAAAGTTGATGCCTGACTGGAACCACACCCTGAAGAGAGGGATGAAGACAGAAAGAGAGAGACAAACATTAAGTTCATACAAGCACACCATAAAAAAGAGGAAAGAGAGCTGAGTTCTTATATGACAGTTAGGGGAGAATTTGTTTCATATAGAATTCCCCTGCCCTGATTTTCTTCCAGATTTTCTTTAATCCCTGATATGTGCCCTGCTCTCTTTGTATTAAATGCCTTTTAAAATTTGTACAGCATGTTGCCACCTCCCACGGCATGTTTTGGTGGGAGAAGACAAAGAAATGACAGAAGTAGCTTTTATGAAAGTTAACATTTTTACCAGTGCTGCATGGATGATGAAGTGGGATGTGATTTTGCTGATGAGTAAGGCAACAATGATTGGCCAATTTCTTAATGATATGATTTAGGGTTTCATTTCTGTTAATTCTGCACTCCCCCCTCCTCTCATCACCACCTCCCTCACATGTCTGTCCTCTTAAAATATTTATTCCTCTCACTCCATTCAATTTTCCTGACTATTTTGCATCAGTGAGCTTTAAATCTCATACCTGTACCTCACTTTTTGCCTCTTCCTCTCCCTTCTCCAGTTTGTTGTCCTTTGTTCTCTCTCCAGTCTGATTCCTGATATTCATCTCTGCCTTCCTCATTTAGTCTTCATCATTTATTCTCTCTTCCAGTCTTGTCTGTTTGTGTTTTCCTGTGTTTTCCTGTGCATTCCCTAAACCTTTCTTCTTTTCCATCCAGGTTTCTCTTTAAACTGGTTGATTTCATCCTGCATTTCTCTTGGCTCCAGCTATCCCTACTTCCATGTTTGTTTCAGGTTTTTATTACATTTCATAAACCATTTCTTTTCCATCATCCTTGTCCTTTCCCTTGTTTCTGTTCCTCCTGCATCAACATTCCCTCATTACTCTCTCTTCTTTATATCCCTTACAAGGTCGCCTCTTTCATTTATCAGTCTCTCCTTTGTTTTCATTAGCCCCCTTCCAAATTTCCTCCTCCACCTTTCATCTACCCCTTAGTAACTTCATTCCCTTCCTTCCCTTCTTCTCAATATACCTTGTTTCATTCCTCCCTCTGTCCGTCTTTCATCCTTCAATCCCAAGGCATCCTGTGGTTGAGTTCTCCATTTTCTTTCTCTCTCACATTCCTTCTGTCCCTCTCTCTCTCTCTCTAATCTGTCCTGGTGTGTTATGTTCTATTTATCACCTTGACGAGACCCTCCCTCAGTTTACTAACACACTTTACAGGCACACACACATGCACGCAAGCTCCTCTTTTAAACAAGTCTATAGCAAACAGCAGATAACTACAGATATATTCTCCGATAAACGTTTTGTTCTAAACAGAAAAAAGTCAATTATCTTTGATTTCTCTCTCAATATTTTTTACTCATGCTTGTTTCCAGCTTCGTGTCTTGCCAGAATTGCCAGAAAATATGTCATGCTTGTCCTTTGATATGCTCTGTACATAAGGTATGTGTGCATCTACGTATGATAATCTGTAAATGCTTTTTGTGTGAAAACTTAAAAAGCCACTTTTCTCAGTTTCTCTATGAACTATTTTTTTCTTGGTTCATTTTAAAATGAAGGCAAAAATTTGCTGCCTGGTTGACCACTATTGCGTGTTATGCTACTGTTAAGAAAATTGAGAGAAAACTGCGCAAAGAAGTCCTATTGTGCAAGTGAGGCACAGTCACTCCTTGAGTCTGGTGTGTGCACACTTTCCTAAGTAAAGTACTGCACATGTGAAGTGAAACGGCGTAAAGTAATGGATGGTCCCATAAAAACTTCTCTTATAATTCAACAACTGAATGTTGCATAAAGTCAAAAACTCTCCACCATTGCTCTGCTTCCCCTTTTTATTTCTCTCCATCCCTCTCTCTTTATGTCTCCTCTATCTCCCTACCTAATACCCTTCTGTCTCTCTCCCTCATTCACTGTCCTCCTCCTCAACCAACCCAGAATTTAGGATAATCCACTTCAAAGGAAATTTACTACACCCAGACTGTGGGAACAAATGTAAAGCAATACAATGAATTATGAGGAAAAAAGAAGGAGACATAATATGAACGACATGCTGACAGGAATGGACTATGAGGGAACAGAAATGTATGCCTGAGCACTGGCTGAGAAAAATTCATCCCAGAGATTTTTTGATGGCAATGTCATAGCAAGGACGAACGAATAGAACATAATGGAAAAACAAATAAATACATAAAACCTCTCAAACATGCTTCCAGTACAGTATGTGACAGCACAAACCTAATTTTCGTTAATGCACTTTCTTGAGCGCTTTAAAATAACATCTTAAAATTCATACAAAACCCATAACATGTAAACCTGCTTGCCTGCAGACGTCATCCTCTCACCATTCTCTCTTTTTACCTTTCCAATAGAGCTAGGTTGTTTGAACTTTTACTCTGAATTTCCATAGTGTTTCTCTGAGCCATAAAATTTCACTCATAATTAATGCTGCTTTAATAACCATGACCATTAAGTAGTTTTGTCTAATAAATCATTACTATAACACAATGAAAAAAAAAATGGATCATGTAGTTGCAATTGTATATGATTGCCTGCAAGTCCAATGTACAGTATGTATATTTTGAAACTTAAAATTCCCTTTATTTCACAAAAACAAAAAAGCTTAATCCCCAGGAATCTTTATTCCTGTTGTTGGCATTCAATAAACAATCGTAGATCTCTGTAAATTCATCACAGCGTGCTACCAAGGGTTCCAACTCAAACACCAGTGTACTGTTAATTCAGTCAAAAGGAAAAGTGAATTTTAAAAAATGAGGTTTTCAATCATAAGTGTGTATATGACTTTTAGTGGCTGTCAGTTTACCTTAGATTCAAAGCCGATGTGTGGGCGAAGGAGGCACAGTGAGTTTACTTGCCTGAACTGGGACTGAAGAACATAATCAGAAAAGTGCACACACAGACAGTCACACATGGAAGGGAACATGGAACCACTACTGTCCCATGGTGCATCTGTCAGGACTTTGGTATATGCGAGTTTGTGTGCGCATGTCTATCAACAAGCAGGATGATGGACAAGGCTGCATCCCTAAGCTGCTTCTGTCAGATCTGTGTACAGCAACAGAGCATGACAAGTGTCTGTGCATCTTTCTTTCACTCTCTGTCTGGGTTTTTTTGGGTAATGCAGGAAGACAAGCAAACATCCTTATATTCTCTTTCACTTTACATTATTCACCTCCCACTGTAGTTATCACATTGCTTATCTTTGTGTCAGTGTGCTGATCTGTTTTGTAACTGTACAAAGAATCCATAACATATTCTGCTAAAGTAACAAACTTGAAGAGGTCATACTTTTAGGTATCATTTGTTGCCTTCTCCTTGTAAAGTTCTTCTAAAATGCAAAAAAGTGGCTCATCGATACAATAAATCTATACTGTTGGACAACGGTTTTAGTGTAATACATTAAAAACTTTATTTGCACCATGAAAGATTAACTGAACACCTTGACACCTTTACATTGCACACATTCAGAGCTACAGTCTGCTCCTGTTGGCCATCCGCTAGCTCATGGAGTATTGCAATTGATTTTCTTTTCCTTTTTTCTTGAGCAGTCCCTTGTTTATAGGGGCCTCAACACTAGTTTACCAAGCGGAAAAATAAAGAGTAAGTGGAGGGAAAAGCAATAGGGCATTATGCCAAAAGGTGACACTGTAAATAAAGTTTCCTTTAGCTCTTAAATCACAATAGTACATTTAAAATACACAACGTGTTTGTGTCAATATACGATATCTCTGTCTTTTTATGGAGTCTTCTCTTAAATAAAACCTTCCAAGTGCTTTTTAAGAGTGATATTTAAAAAGCATTTGCCTTTTATTTTTATTTCCCATAACATCAGCGTCTTCGCCTTAACCTCTAGAAACAACACTAGAGCTAACACAAGGTAGAATGTATAAAGAGAACAGTTGTATGGAGAGAGGGAAAGAAAGGAATGTGAATGAGCAAAGCGTATTTATACTGCAGCTTCCACAGAGGACTACTGACCCAGGAAAGCAAGTAATTTGTGTAAGAGGAGGATAACAGATTGTTCTGCTAAAAAGAAGAATCTCTTACAGTAAGTACAATAACTTTGAGCTTTGCACTCAGCGCTGCTGGTTTCTTGGACTGCTCAAAAAGTCTAAATTATTCTAGGGTTGCGCTCACTACAGTGCAACTCTGGATGAAAGCATCAGCTAAATGCTTAAATGTAAATGTAAACCCCACAGGCATTCTTCCCAAAACAAAAGAGCAGAGCCTGAGCCATATGCTATGTGTCAGAAAATGTTGTTGCATGTACAGCAGCAGATGTGTTTAAGACACAAAAGTCTGGTTGTCTGAAGTTGCTGCTGGAACAGATGTTTTGGGAAAAGCCACATTGGAAGGATCCTGTAAGAGTCACTGTAGAAGTCCAGCATGTGTTTATCCTGCATCCAAAATGAAGCAACATCTCCAACAACTTTCAAGTGCACATAAAGCAGTGCAGGTCCAAAAACCAACTAATTGAATCAGTTACATCTGTGTCTTGTACTCTACCTTCTGATGACTGATTAGAGAGTAAACCTCTCCAATCAAAGCGCAGCAGTAGTTCTAGCAGTATTGTGTAGTCAGTATCTCTATGTTTGAATGATTGTTAAAACCTACTGTTCACCTCAGAGGAGGCAGCTTCTCTACATAACTGAATTAAAGTAAGACAAATATGACTTTACATGGACAATATGATTTGGTATATATAAGTGAGTGGCATTTAAATGAGTCAACTGTTAAATTATTAACACTTTGCTTTCTGCATCTTGAGAGGCAAAACAATCTGCTGTTGTGAGCGTAACACTTCCTTACAAACTACAAACTGTCAATAAATTGAAAAGCTGAGAAAGTGACTGTTTGTAACATGTTACTAGTTAACAGGTTGCAAAGTTTGTGCTATCACAAGACGTTCTCCACCAGTGATAATGCATAATTCTTGTCTCATCAGGTTACAGTTACATCAAGTCTGTGAT